ATACTGCTGATGTGGGTCAAGGGCATTCTGAGCAAGAATAGGCTGGGGTTTCTGCCTGTATGGCCTTTGCTGCCCCACTTGAGGGCCAGGGGTGGGGTTCAATTTGCCAGATGGTATCCATCGGGTCACAGTAGCTGCTTCCAGAACGGGCCGGGGCCCATTCAGGGTGGGACAGCGGGCTTGTGCGGGCCCACTGTAAGAGCGGCGCTCCTATTTATACAGCAGCTTGGGGCAGGGTGATGGGGTGCGGTGGCAAAGCCATAGGATAACTAAAGCTCGCAAGAGGGTCCTCAAAGGCTTTTCAACCTGTTCCCTACACACACTGAAGTACTATGAACCTTACAGCAATTAATATCCACCCAGTTTTGGTAATCTAGTCAGCAAGGCAGCACACACACTTGCAGTAATGTGGGTCAGCTAGAGTAACATGGCTGCAGCAAAGTCTAGGGGCAAACCTGAAATCCTGGGACCATTTGGCAAATTGTTCTTTCAGCAAAGGGGTTTGGGTGAGTGGTTTTGGCCACCTCCCCCTTGAGTGGACACCGTTCAATAGCCAGGGCAGCGTGGCCACACTCACTCACCCCTCAGACAGCCTGCTCCCCCCTCACATACAGACTCGCAAAATGCCACCTAGCCCCGGGCCACCACCAATACTGGGCTGTGTTTTCCAGCCCACCTGGAAGTCAAAGATGGGGGGAAGACGGTATTAAGCTGTGTCCTCCCCAGGTGAGCTACGGACAATTAAGGTGGGTCTCTTTCTTCCTCACCACAATGGGCTCTAAGAAGTCATGTTACTAAAAAATCAGCGTAATGTTTATTTAAAATAAAAGAGAATGTTTTCTATGTCTGTATATCTTTTGTGAATATTTATTAGGATTTCTTGTATAAAAACGTGCAATATTAATAATTGTACATTGTCATTCAGAAAACACAGTATTTGGGGGACTTTTTTATTAACTTCCTGCAGTTGTGTTCCTGTAAACTCTGGTAACTATTGTATTGTTCCTATTTTTAATAGAGGCTGATGTTTAACTCTGGATCCATTCACTGTGTACAGAACACATTGTAAAGCTAACATGGGATGACAGGGCAAGAAGAGGGGACTCGTTTGTGACACAACAGTTATGCATGGAATGGAGAATGCAAATTCCATACTGCTACTAATGTGGCTGGTTATTTGTAGTTCAATAGCTGTTGAGAACCAGTGGCCAATATTTACATTTTCTAAATAGCCAGTGTCCTCCAGCTCCGCCTCGTGTCAGGTTGGAGCCGTTGGTGGGGGCCTCAGAGCCAGCTCGGAGGACCTAGGTTTGGGGTGGGAAGCAGCGTGCTCCTTGCATGAGATGAATGTACATTTACTGTTTGTTCTGTGAATTGTGACTCAGCAGCAACACAAGATGATTAGAGCTGCTGAATAATATGGAAGGAGGCACTTTCCTCCTCTAAAACACAAAACTGTATTTATATTTTTTGTACAGATAATACAGCTTATTTATTTAACTCTTGTCGTCCGAGTCTCTGTTAAGCTCAGCCTTCCGGTCTAGTTCTGTACAGGGGTTGAGGGTGGTTCCCAGCCACTTACGTGTGTTTGGCCGCCACAGAAGAATGGTGGTTTTGAGCTCTGCATGGGAAGCTGGGAGCCCATGCCTGCAGGGCCAGCTCTGTAAGTGAACTCAAAGGAGCTATGTTTGTGGATGTGCACATATTCAGGTTTAGGACTACCCTTGACAATCATCTCATTTATGGCCCTGGGTAGTGGGAACATGGAAGCCACAGTGCCTTCAGAAAGACACGTGGACATCTCGTGGGTGGAGGGTAGATGCAGATTTGGCTGCAGGAGGAGTCTCCAGGTCAGGTCCCCGCCAACAGGGGCGTGCACAGTATAAAGTAGCTGTGTGCTGAAATTCTGGATGGACACCATTAGTAGGAGCTAACACTTGTTACTACATTTTCATCCTCACATGAGCCCTATGATTATCTGTATATGGGTAGACAGAGGCCCAGAAAGCCCAAGGTCAACCAGCTAGTGGAACAGGGATCAAACTCCTAGAAGTCTGGCTTTTTAGCCACAGCCTTTTCCTTACCCACTATGCCATCTCCAGCTTCTCTGTGCAAGAGCGGACCATGCATGGCCACCATTGTGGGTACCATCTTTCCCTACTGCTTGGAGGCTGGTAGATGACAATGGGACATTTTACTGGAGTTGTCACTTTCTCATCCCCTAAAATCAATTCTTCTGGCATTCTGTGGCCCCTACCTGCCTATTTTTAAAGCATTTTAATAGAAATAAAGCTACTATGGGAAGTGCAGAAAAAAATAAAAGTGTATTGTGGCGTTCTTCATCAATTGTTTCCAGTGGAAGGGCAGCAAGTCTCCAAGCCCCCAGGATGTCCACACAAAGACCTTTGTGGGAGGCACTTAAGAACCCCAGCCTGAAAGCCCAATTCCAATCCATTTTCCAACAACTCACCCATCACATCACAGTCTGTTATGCAGTGTAAAAATTAGTTAGAAAGCTCTTCCTGAAATCCCAATTATTTTCTAAGGAGTTTTAGGTTTTGCTTTAAAGAAATAGTCAATACTTGAACTAGAAATACTCACATACCAACAATCAAATAATATCCTACCCAATTGGCAGGGAGATGGAGAATAGTAATCAGAATGCCAAACACTTTTTTTGCATGCTCACAAGTTTCAAATGGTGGTGACAGTGAGGGGGGGGGGGGGGGGGGGGGGGGGGGGGGGGGGGGGGGGGGGAAGGCTGACTCAAATAAGTATACAGAAAGGAGTACAGCCCAAATCACAGAGCTCAGCGGGGAGAAAAAGATCCCTATAAGGATGCTCCCAACCACAGCATAAAAGTTCGGAATCTTAACCACAGGCAGGTCCTGGGATTCAAACTGCTCATACCAGAGTCCCCTGCTTGGCCTCAGAAGTTTCTAGGACTTTGACAGCATGTGCCCAGAAAATCTGGGGCCCATCCAAACCAAAATCATCAATAATCACCAAAGCTCATTCGTGCCTCAGTTTCTCACCTTTGAAAAGAGGATATCTCCTAAGATAGGGTTTTTATGAGAAAACTAGCAGTTCATTCACATTGAGGAAATCTAGGATCTCCTGGCACATCACTGAAGCGTTCACCAAATGTTAACTGCTATTATCATCCACCCTACCTTGAAGACAGGGAGATGAGGGCAGAGCACTTGTCCTATTTCATATTCCCATTGTCAGCTGTGAAAGACTGTTCCTAGGTTTTCATTTTTGAGTGAGAAGGACATCAGTCGTTCCTTCAAAGTTCAGTACTACACAATAGTGTAAATAAGAGAGGCATTAGTGAACCCAAATCTGTATATTGGAAGATAACATAATAGCACATGTAGCCCACTCACCAAAATATTGACATACTTTCAGAAATAGTTCCCAGGACAGCTGTTACCTTGTAATCCCAATGTACAGTCTAGTTTCAAATCAAATCTGCCATTTCCTTTGATTTACTAAAAAAAAAACGAAAAACACAAAAAAACAAAAAAAAAACAGGGACAAATGCTCATACAAGAGCAAACATACATGTGA